AGCTCAATCGATATGCGATCATTATTTTATGCATAATACTACTAATAGTACTTTTGTTCTTGTATTTCTTACCTACTGCTGCATCCTGCTGCACTCCTTCGTGCGCGACGCCCCTCTCACCGCGACGCGACCATTTCGTTCCTAATGCACCACACCCTTCCAATAATTATATGAAAAACCTTCGCGACTTCAAGGGATTGAGGCATGGGAGAGGCTAATCTGTGCTGTTCTCCGCTTGTTTGTCCATTATTACTAATTTTTTTGACCCATACACTTTGTGAATAAACGTACCAATTGGTAATGTGAATTGTGATCGTGAATATTTATCAATGATTTCATCAAAAGCATCTCTCCATGCTGGTATACTTTCATTAGCAAAGAACAGATTCACTGTACCAATGTCAAATACCATTCGATAGCGACAGATCATCTTCAATTCCAAATATTAATCATAATAGATAAGTCACTCGGTCATTCCATTTCTATTATAAATTAAGTGGGATTCAAAAAATGACTTACAAGCCGTTTTTCTTCCGAGACGAAGAAAGCCTGGGTGGATACACTCGTTTTAGTTACGGCACTGAGAGGAAGTACCAAACCTGAAAGCAGTTTTTTATGGGAAACTGATGGAAAAAAGCCCAGGAAACCTTAATGGTTGTTGGGGGGTCAGTGGCAAGGAGCGCTTCTGAGAGTTGAGCCTTGGATCGAATTCATCGAGATAAGAAAAATCTTCATTTTATGGTAGGTAGGTGAGACGGCACTAATGGGAATGACTTGAATGACTCGCTGGACATAGGCCTGTGTTCAAATGTCATTCTGAAGGCGAGTATCATATATGGCGTTTTAGAATCTGGTCATTTTCGGTGAAGTCTGCTCAAATTACTCAGCTGTGAATCAAAGGCACGGTTCACGATAAAAATGGTTACTGAGTTATTTCCTTGGGAATACTCAGCGACCCTCATGGAAGGTGGAAAGATCCCTCTCGCTCCCAAAATCTCGACGGTCAGGGCATAGTAGCAGCCCTGTTGCTGCCGTAAATGGCCTTAACGCCCCTCGATCGATGACTCATTAGACGAGTGTCGAGGCAATACAGATTGCTATTATTCGTTCTAGGACCCACACACAATCAGCTGATCGCCGAGTNCCAGAACTATCGTGAACTGTGCCTTTGAGCTACTTCAATAGCTTCCTTCCGAGATTCCAGGAAATAGTTGTATGCCCTATTCACTGAATTACGAAGGCCGTGTGATATTTCATTTTAAGGTTTTCGGACCAAGATGAACTCCATACATAATTACACTCTACTGTGACATGCGTTCCATTTGGTTGGGATTCGGTCCCTGTTTGATCAATCTGGGGTGGTGGGATCATTACCCCACGATACATTCACCCCATTTGTAGCAAACTGGAACTCTAAAGAAATCGGCTGCTGAAAGGCCTCCGTCGTAGTAAAATATCAACTCCAGGACTGGTATACCTTTGCTTCGCTTCCTGTAAATAATCAAATTATCCTTTTTGGTGATGCAAATTCGAAGTCGACGAATTCTGCCTGTCCGACGAAAAAATCGTCTCTGAAAACATCTCATTACCTATCTCAAGCCATGACGATTCCTACTTCCATTTATAGTCGCAGAAACACTTGACTTCGTCCCTAAGTCTATGAATGGATGTAAATTCTGTAGTATCAGTATTCGCAATGGCTCTGGATCGCTATGCGATAATTACTTTTGGCATGATTCTACTGTTAGTCCTTTTGTTCC